CCGCCCCTCTCTCTCTCTCTCTCTCTCTGTCTCTCTCTCACACACACACACACACACACACAAAGAAACATGTCTGAAATGCATGTTCCCGCGAAAGCGGGAAGATGCATTCCCGTTTCGTTTTTCGAAATGATAGCAAGAAGAGAACGGTCGTTTTTCCTACTTCTTTGTTTTTTTTTGTCTTTTTTTTCCCATTTTCTTTGCTGTGTACCTTTTGCACGTTCGGATCTTTTTTCTTATCTCTTTTTTTTTTGTCCTTTTTTTTTCCCGTCTTTTCCGTTGTTCACGTTCTGCACGTTCGGGGCGTCTGCGCCGGGTAGTCCGAGCATCAGCACGGATCGGCGTACCAGTCAGCCAACTCTCGGACTCGATAGCTGGGCGAGGTACTGGTGGTTTAAATTCCTCTGAGTCTATGAAACCATAGCCTGTGAGATGGTCACACTTAGCCCAAGAATGATCAAGAGATCCTCAAGGCCAGAGTTGGGTGAGGCTCAGCCTTGTCATGGCAGTTCTGTCGGATGAATGTTGTTACTGCGTAGTGCAACCTCTGACCGCTCGATGCGAAGTCCATTGAATGGCGCAGTGTGGTCCTTAGCTAGCCAGTTACGGTCGAGCTTTACCTTGTTGTTCCGATCTGTATCTGTTTTTCTTTTTTCTTCTGTATATATGCTTTCACTTGCCTCCACTTGCTGTTAATTTCTGCCTCGAATATGCCTTTGGTTGCCGCGCACACTTTTTCCCTCTGGTTCCTACGTTTGCCCACGGTAATACCCCATCTCTCCTTCCATATTGCCGACAGAGCCATACCACATCGCTCCTTTTGTCCAGAGTATTCCTGCATCACTCCTTCCATATCGATCCCCTCCCCTTGCTGTGCCCTTAATTCTGTGTGAAAATAGTGGCTTGCCTTTTGAGCTTACCAGCCATACGACGAGGCCTTGCCTTCCTGACGAATACAGAGCTAAATCTGGTCAGGTGCATCAGATGGAGACCTACCGGTAGGGGTGGTTGCACCTTTGTTTTTTTTTTAATAAATAAACAGGCCCTTATGGTCCTGGCTCCGTATCCATTCTGGGGAGCGTCAGTCTGGTTCCTATTCCCACGGCAAGTCAAAAAATTGATACATCACAGAACACGCTTCCTTCCGTCTGGCCGAAGGAACCCTGACCAGCATTGATTGCTCCTTATAGGAGGATTGACTGTCAGCTTGCCTTTCCCTGAACTCCCTCTCAGATTCCCCTATGGAAATCTGTCAAAAAGGCTTTAATCAGCTAGGAGAACTGAAATCTGTCAAAAAGGCTTTAATGATTAATCAGCTAGAAGAACTAAGGAACGAAAATGTTTCCACATGAAAATGAAGGTTGTTGATACTCCTTATGTAGCCTGTGGATCCTGTGGGACCCCCATTGAGTGAGATATTGAGCTTCTCCTGCTCGTCTCCGAATTGTGCCAATTTTTCCATCGTAGGTTGGAGTCTCTTATCTCTGCTATTTCCCCCCCCACCAGCCAGACCTTGACGAATTGGAGAGGATATTGCGCTGTCGATCTTCATCTTCCGGCCTGGAGGGTCTCAACTTGTGCCATCTGCATAGGATTTCTGCCTGGATCAGGGTCCTTGTCTCCACCCAAACCTTTTCTCGTGGAGTTGATAATCCCTCGATGGTTCTGCTGCATCTCTCCTTCCAGATCGACCAAAGTGTCACTTTTCTGATCTTGCCGTACCATATCTTCTCAGCATTGTTGAAATCAGTCGGAATGTTAGTCCAGAGAAGAAGTTGGATGGGATGTTCAGGGAGGGATGATGTGAAAAGAGAGGTCCAGAGGTCTGAGGCCCTGGCCCAATATTCCGTAGCTTCCTTGCAGCGGATTAGGCAGTGAATTAAGTATTCTGGCTCGTTATCTGAACAGACTGTGCATAGGTCCGAACTGTTAGGATCACTTCTTCGTCTTCGCTTGTGGAGCCACTGGTAGACCGGTAGTGCCACATATGCGATAAGCCATTGGAGACTCCGAATTTCAAGAGGTATGATTGATTTAAACTTCTTCCATGGGATTTGTGAGACACGGTCTGTCTCTTGTCCGATTAATTTTGACCATCTACTTCTGATTACGGGTCCCGGGTCCTTCGTCTTAAGGAATAGCTTATACCTCATTTTGACTGAGTAGTCCTGGATGTCAGTGTTAATGCTTTTGTTCCTCTCAGATGTCCAGGCCCATTCTACTGGGTCGAATTCACAAGGTCTTGGATTGGAGTGTTTATTCTGAAGATTGATTTGGGCCAGGAACCTGTGACTCTTACTTTCCTGAAGAGGAAAATGTCTAAGCTTGTTCTTTCCACATCTTTGTCCTAGATAGCTGCAGAGTCGTGGGCTGATGTAACGATTGGGTAGGATGAAAACACCGCAACGGTACTCGATCCCAGTTGTTTGTGGGAGATCTGGTATGCTCTCACGGGAGGTTGTTCCTGTATCCAAATTCCCCACTCACCCGTTTTCCATGTTGGAGTTCCCTTCAACAGCTCTTTCCAGCATTCCGGGATACATGTAATGACTGTCTGCAGATTCCTATCTCTCCGGTTACAGCCCTTGAGCCAGGGGATAAGATCCTTATCTGTTACCCAGTCGTTTCTCTCTTCATCCCATATGTGAGCGATCTTCCATATCCACGACAGCCAACGCGTATCTCTTTGTTTAAGAGACAGCGAGTGATCACTTTCATCTCTCACCCACGGATTACCAAAGAGAGGTTGCCTCAGGACTTCTTCCCTGGTCCTAGGTTTGCCCTTTTTTTTGGGCATTGGTTGCACCTTTTCTACCGGAGCTCTCAGCCAAACAAGTTCAAAGTGGACAATGCTTCCTGATTTTAACTATGCAGAAAAGCAGGCTTGCTGTTGCTGTCAGCTTATGTCACGAAGCTGGCACATTGACAAGGCCTCTGCTAGGAAGATGACTTGTCAACAAGGCCTGCTTCTTTGTTCATCCACCCATACTCAGCTAGGGTCCTATTTTATCCCATCTGCTAGTTAAACTTTTTTTTTTTTTTTTCCCCAAACACACAGCCTCTTCTGGGGGGCATCAGTGCGGTTGATTATCACCAGCAAGCATGTTTCACAAGCAATTGGGGAGAAAAAACGAGAAAAGAGAAAGGAACAGCCATACCCTTGTGGCACAAACCGCCTTAGCAAGGGGGGGCTGGTACGGAACGCCCCAACCCCAGCCCATAGGCCCACCTCAGGGATTACCTTGCAGGTCGGGAGGGATGCTAGCAGCACCCAGGCACACAGCAGGGTAATCCCAAGGAGGGCAGGGCACAGAGGGAGGAGGGGGGGGGGGTTCCAACGGTCCCTCGACCGCTTGTCAGGCACACTAGTCTTCCTCAGGCTTTATGAGCCTTATATCGCCTTGTGTCCCCCCAAAACTGTCCATGTCTCTCATAAACCTTACACTCGTTGTCTTGCCTGTCTACTAATCTGCTGCCCTACCTCTCTCGACACTCTCCCCGTCATTCCCAAAATTGTTTTTGTGCGTAGTCTTTATGCAAAAGCACTTTTAGTTAAACTTCATTTGGTTATTTATCTTTATTTTGTATATGATTATTATTATATTATTATTATTTAGTGTTTCTTTTTTCTTTTGAAAGGGGGCATCTCCTAACATTATTGTATCTGAAGAAGTTTGAAGTTTGAACTCACGATGTGTTTGAGCAACATCTGTTTGTTTTTTTTTTTTCCGACCAGTGATAGTCGAAGAAGGGGTCCTTGCCCATTTGGGACTCAACTAGTTTGCTCAGTTCCACTTCCTTGCGGGCTGCTTTCATACGTGAAAAAACCATCAGTGCTTCCCAACCTTCCCTGACGATTCCTAGGCCAACTTCTGCCCAATGGTCTTCGGATTAGAATAAGTGTTACATCAACTTACATGGGTGCACTATTCAACCATAAGGCCCACCATTCCTCCCATCGATGATCCTTGGCGTTCACATTTGGTGGCATGTGTATTGAGGGACCCATGTTTGTTTGTTTGTTTGTTTGTGTGTGTGTGTGTTTTTTTTTTTTTTTTTTTTTTTTTTTTTTTTTTTTTTTTTTTTTTTTTTGTGTGTGTGTGTGTGTGTGTGTGTGTGTGTTCTTGTCAATTCTGCAGAAGATAATGTGCAAACATCGAGCTCCCTGCTGGATGGACGCTGCTACTCATGGGCGTCCAGCGATGTCCAGTAACGCAGACCGGAGATTCCCGTACCGATGCATCATGTACACGTGGAGATTGCCCCTTGCTGTGGCTTTTGGGCGGCGAAGAGGGAGTCCCTCCTCTCCACCTGGCTGTAGTTTTGGGCATAGATTCCGCCTTCTCCTGTTGGTGACTTGTATGATCTTTCCGCTGTGGTGTGGAGTCGCAAAAGGTTGGTTTGAAGGAAGTTCCCAAGGAGACACTTTTAAGCCTGTAACTCTGGACCTGGAACTGGACCTGGAACTGTGAACCTGGAAACCTGCAACTCTGAACCTGGAACAGTGAGTCTGTGGATCTGAACCCAGAACAGTGGACATGGAATCAGGAAGGCAGACCCTAAAAACATGAGCATGAAATTGCAAGTCTGTTCCAAGGAATGGACCAGTCAGAGCTTGAATGGTACTCGAAGAGCCACTGACAATCTGAACCCGCAGCATGGCATGAGCTTTGAGAAAAAGGAAAAGCGCTGGAATGTGTCAAATGAATGGAGCATCAGTGGAAAGTTTTGATCTTGTGTGCTACAGTGATAATGTCTCGTTTCTCTCAGAATTCAAGTCGTAAAGCTGAATGGGTGCTGCTGTGTCTGGGTGTCCAAACACACATTCGGGTGGAGTGTTAGAGGAGCTTAAGCTGTTTCTCCCACAATTGGGATGTTCTGCACATGCAAAGCACTGAGTTGCCTTGTTCTGCAAACCCATCCCATAACCTTAGCGACAATAGAAATAGCAACTCGATTGCTGCTACCAGAAGAATCCTGTCTTTCTTTATGTATTTGTTTGGATTATCAGCAACCTCTATGGCGGTTTCTCTCTGTCTCTCTCTGTCTCTCTCTGTCTCTCTCTGTCTGTCTGTGTCTGCCTGCCTGTCTGTCTGTGTCTGCCTGCCTGTCTGTCTGCCTGCCTGCCTGCTTGTCTGTCTGTCTGTCTCTCTCTCTCTCTCTCTCTCTCTCTCTCTCTCTCTCTCTCTCTNTCTCTCTCTCTCTCTCTCTCTCTCTCTCTCTCTCTCTCTCTCTCTCTCTCTCTCTCTCTCTCTCTCTCTCTCTCTCTCTCTCTCTCTTCACATGTTCAATTCAGAAATGGGACAAAGCTGTGGGGAAGGGAAGGTCTATGCTATTGGGAAGAGCGTGCACAAAGCCACAGTATAAAAACAACTGCTCATGGGGATAAATGCACCGCACAGTGGCTCACCGAGGAGAGAATAGGGGCAGAGAATTGACTCCCACACCAGCAGGGACGAAACATATATTGAAGGATGTCTCCCAACTTCATCATCCACAGACGAACAGACCTAAGTTTGAATTCCACTGGAAGCAGACGAGTAAAAATCCTACTGTGCCAACATGGAGGGCTGAACACAGTGCGTGCTGGACATCCAAGTCCCTCACAACCTTTGAGAAAAAAAAAAAAAAACCCTACAATTCTGAATTACCTGGGGCCGTTCAGGTCAGTTTCATGATCATATCGCAAGACCGTCACCCTTTTCAAAAGAGGAAGAAGAAGTAATGAGGAGTATGAAGAAGAACTGGCAGGTGCTGATAAAGTGATGTCCCTTGTCTCTTGAACCACCTCCTCCCACAACTTGCCTCTCATGGAATGTCTCAGATGTCATTCTATGTGAACCAAAGCTCCCCTGTCTCTCCTCGGAGAGGAAGGCGAAGAAGAAGGAGAAAAACAAAAAGATTTTTCTCTCTGTAGACATATGAAAGAACTTGGTGGGGAAGGGTGGCACATTGAGCTGTTATGTACCCGATTGAGCTTCCATCCCCAGCGAATTCACACGTTCGCATACACGCATGCAATTACAGAGTAGACTCGGGACGTGTGAGTTCTTTGTGGATGGAAGTTCAATCGGGTACATAACAGTTGGGATATCAAGTTACAGTCCAGCTCGAACTGGGAGCTCCAGCTATGGCATCAGTGGGTAAATAGCTGATGGAGGCATTAGATTGCCCTGCACCTCCATGGACGAGCCTCTCTTCTAAACCAGTGCTGTGCTCTAGCAGCCTGTCGACCTCCAAGTCTAGAAGTGAATGACTGAATGTCCAAAAGCCTGACCCGTCTCCCCTATATACTGGTGGGCCTCCTTCCTTTCATCCGGTCTTTGATCTGGACCGTCGAGATCTCATCCTCTAAGATCTACCGCCAATAGATAGTCCACTATGGAGGCTGAGCTGTGTGCCACTTGATCTGGGTCCGGGATTGCTGGACCAGACTATAGTGACTCAGGAGCGGACTCTGGGCCGGGTACAGATCCCACCAATTCAGATAAAATGGCCCTTGGTGCGGAGGGACGCCTGAATGGGCACACGGAGGGACACACAGTTAACGGAGGGCCGAAATTTCGCTGTTTTCGCCGACAGTTTCGTTGCACATGTCAAAACTGGACAGATGACGTACCCTAAAGCACCTATGTATCACACAAAAAGAAAAACAAGAAAAAAAGCAAAAAATCAGGGCAATATGACAGTTTCAGTGCAAAATTCGGGGAAAAGAACACCCGTGATTAACCACTGTGTGCACACGGGATGAAAATAGCTGAGTTCTTGTGGAGACAAAAGTCTTCCTGCCCTACAGTGCTCACCAACTGAACAGACTCTGGTCTGAAGGGGCACAACAGGCAGACCAGGGGTGGAATGTGTGCCTGTCTGAATATGCGCACAATCAGAAAGGATGAAGCTGATGCAAGAACAGCACAAACACTCGATGGGAAATTGAAAAATTACTCAATGCAGGTATGGATAAACAATTGGTAAGGAAAAGAGTGTAATAGCAATCAGAGCCTCAGCAGGACAACCCCGACAAGTTCAAGGGCTTTTAGTTATCTCATCTCTTCATCCTTTCTTGGTTTCACGTTTAATTTGGCAGGTTGGAGCCTGTGTTAAAAAAAAAAATAATAAAAAAAAATTCGAAGGTTGGGAACAAAACTGAGAGGAAAGGTAGAGGGAAGGCAAGCTGACAAGTCAATCCGCCAGGCATCTGGAGCAATCAATGCGGCTTAGGGGTCCTTCGGCCAAAAACGGAAGGAGGCCCGAGGGTGTTCTTGTTGTATATTTGACTCGCCGGTGGTGAATAGGAACCTTACTGATGGGGGGGGGGAAGGGAAAAAGGGAGAAATTGACAAAAATAAAACGGTTTTCACCCAGGGTTTGATCCCTAGACCTTACCTGCACCCGTGTACAGTATCGAGTAGAACCCTGTGTGTTTTGAACCCGCGACCTGTGTTTTAGTAGTGACTGTACCTCGTCATAGGTCCCTGTAGTTGTAGGGGTCCGATCTGTAGATCTGTCAAGTAGAGGTTACATATGTGTAGAGGTTGAAACTGCTAGGCTAGAGGTCGATAGGTAAGTTGTAGGTCCAGCTGCGTCGAGTAGGCAGTGCGACTGTATCGAGTCGGCAGTGCAACGCCATGCAGTCAGCGGTACTGGTCCAGTCAGTCGCAGTCCAGTCAGTCGCAGTCCAGTCAAGCAAGTACCGTGTGGGACTGTGTGCACCGAGGGCCTGGAGGAAAGCGGCAGACCAGCGACCAACAGAAGTATAAATCAAGAGGCAGCGTCCAGCGATTGATTCATTCGCTGCGTAAGCCATGCGGAAGCCCTGCTCCAGCGTCTTCTGCGAGGTGGTCTGCAGAGCGCCCGAAGTCGAAGAGGGCTGGAAGAGGATAGCGTAGCTATAGTTAGTAGCAGTTGAGCGGCCATAGCCGCTGTAGACAGGAGAGAGGTGTTCGGCTGTAAGTTTGTGATGCAGTAAGCGTGTGTGGGGTATTCAGGGTGATCCAGAGTTGAGTGAGTGTGAACAGTAGTGTTCGAAACCGTATCGAGGGTTGGATGTGCAGGCGCTTATGCGCCATAGCCTGTGGAAGCAAGTTTGCATCTGAACTGAGTTCTCGATTTCCATATCTCTGAGTTTTAAGTGGGCGCTATGTGCCAGTTTGAATTGCCATCTGTTTGCATGTATGTGAAGCGAAGAAGAAAGCGAGTCTGATTGCATTGGTAACAGAGCTGGTTCCCGTTACGCCACGCGCCATCACCGTTGTTATAGTCGGGCGCCATAGCTGCAGCTGCACCAACGAAGGAGGAGGGTTTGCCATAGCTGCACCGCAGAAGGAGGTGCCGCGAACCTGCACAAAAGACAACGATGAAGAGAGAGAGAGAGAGAGAGAGAGAGAGAGAGAGAGAGAGAGAGAGA